AGGGAGCCCGATGCGGGGCTCGATCCCAGGACCCTGGGATCGTGACCTGAGCCGAAGGCAGACGCTTAACCAGCTGAGCCACCCAGGGGCCCCGCTTCACAGACATTTTAAAGCACCTTAAAGTCCAATGAGAACAGAAACTCATTATCAAGACTCAAGGTCCACCTTCTAAATGATCCTAGGCCACGAAGGGAGCCTCTGAGAACGCCCTCTCCGGGGCCATGCTCCTCCTTTAGCCCCAGTGAGTGCCATCTATGTCATACTCCCCATGGCCCATGCCACTTAAGGAAGGGGGAGGGGCTGCTGTAGGGCTGCCAACTTTTTATTTTTCCAAGTAGAGATTCTGAAAAAACCTACTAACATCAACTAGCATCATTATTTTGTAAGAGAAAGATATTTTAGCAGAAAAAAAAAAAAAGAGAGAGAGAGATCAGAGTTAAGAGTTCTTTAAATGGAAAAAAAGCAAATCAGCATGATAAAAACCTGGACCGGGGACACGGCGGTGGCGGGCAGTGCTGGGAAGCAGAGGTCTGTCAGCCCACTGGTGTGACTTCTCCAGGATCTCCTCCTCTGCTGTGGGTCCCTGGAGGTGAGTGTCTTCTGAGGTTTTACTTCCTTTTCTCTTTTCTGCTCACTCCTAGCCAGACTCTCTTGGACTTTTTACTTCCCTCCTCCGGCCAGCCTCACTCTCACCAGGCCAATAGCCAATGGGACTTTTTTACGACTCAGTCCTGAATTCTTTTCCTTTCTCAGTGCATGTTCTCTCCCAAGGTGAGCTCAGCCACTCCATGACGTCAGTACCACCTCCAACTGCCCTCCTGGATCTCTCACCATTTGGATGGCTCACAGTGACCATTCCCAACTCGAAAGTCCTAGAATGCCCAGCATTTTCAACTCTTTTTCAAGGTACTGGTGGTCCCCCATGACGCAGACCTGCCTCCCTGCTCATGGCATCCTCCATCCCACCCGCCCCCCCACTCCCCTTCATTCTGCAACTATAGGCTGGTCCAGCTGCCGCAGACGGACCCCCCCCACCTCCTCAGAAACTTGCGATCGCACAACTTTCCACCCTGATCCCTGCTCCCCTCTTGGTTGAGAAAGCCCTTCCCAAATGCACGGGCAGCTGGAATCCCAGCATCCTTCAGGGCGCAGCTCCAAAACAGCAGCCATTTTCTCCAGCACCCAAGAGAATTCATTATAGAAAGATTCAAGATCATGAGCCTTTTCAAATGTCCATGAAGGCCCAAGAACTGTAAGCTGAGCTTGGTATGATGATGTATCCTGCGAACACAGTTCTTGAAATGAAGAGATCATGCCCTGCCTCTGTTAGAACCCTAAAGACATGCATATCTTGATGCTTTTCTGTCCTCAGGTCAAGGGGCAACATCCCAAGGCCCACAGCGGGCCTTGGGGAAGGGAGCCAGGAGGAGAGCCAGGACCTGGGCCCCAAGGACTCCTTCTGCTTGCCCACTGGCAGAAGCAAGGGCCAAACAGCAAGTGTGACCAAATGGGGCCCTCGTTTACTCATTCAATATTCAGTGGGTATTTAGCTACTGGAATTACAGCAATGACCTAAACGGACCTAAATCCCTGCCCTTGTGGGGTTTACGTTCTCGGAGGGAAAAACAAATGATGAAAAAGCAAACACGTATATAGAGAATGGGTTAGGTGGTTACATTTGCTGGGAGGATCGGGGCGATGGGGCCGGGAATGGGGCATGCTATTTTATTCTGGATGATCAGGGAAGCGTCTCTGACAAGGTGACCAAGAGGAGAGCAGAAGCCATCTGACAACTTGAGGCAAAGCATCCCATTGTTGGCAGAGGAAACGGCAAAGGCCATGGGCACTGTATGAGTTTCCTCTTGTTGCTGTAACAACAGACTCAGTGGCTTAAAACAGCACACATTATTATCTTATAGTGCCAGAAGTAAAAAGTCAAAAATGGGTGGGCAGGGCTGTGATCCTTCTGGAGGCTCTAGGGAAGAATCCATTGCACTGTCATTTCTAGGGGCTGCCCACAGGCCTCAGCTCGTGGCCCACGCCACTCTGATCTCTGCTTCCCTCCTCACATCCCCTTCCCAGACTGTCCCTCTCTAAGGACCCTAGTGATGACACTGAGCCCCCTTGGATCATCCAGAATCATTGCCCCATCTCAAGGTCCTTAACTTAATCCCATCAGCAAAGTTTCTTCTGCCACGGAAGGCAACACAGCCACCAGGTTCTGGGGATTAGGACGTGAACATCTTGAGGGGGCCATTATTCTGCTGACTCCAGGGACTAAGTCAGGAGTGTGCCTGGCAGGTTTGAGACCCGGCGTGTCTGAGGAACACTGAGGGGTCAACCTGTCTGGAGCAGGGCAAGGGAAGACACGGGGGAGTGGGCTAATGCCCTGAGTTAGTGGAAAACCGGCTCCTGTGGGTCCTTGTCCAAACACAGTAGGGATTTAGGAGCAAAATAAGAAGGCCAAGAGTAAGGTTTCTCAGCTGAGGCACTACTGACACTGGGCCACCGAAGTCCTTGCTGTGGGGCCACGCTGTGCATTGTGGGCTGGTCAGCAGCAACCCTGGGCTCTGCCCTAGTCAGGAGGACCAGAACTGTTCCCTAGGGAGCAAAAGTGGCCTCCTGCAAGGGTTGAGAGCCATGTGGAACAGGGGAACGATAGCATCTAACATTTTCTGAAAGGATCACTTGTCTGGAAAAAAAAAAAATTCAGACACAGCAACTACAAGAACCAAAAGTCACACAAAATTATGTTGAACGGCACCAGGAAATGCACCATTCACACCAGGGAGAAGCACATGACCACTGAGAGAAGGTCTTTGCCCGTTACTCTAGTAAAATCGACAAAAAAATGAAGATGTTTAATGATGCTCCGCGGATGTGAAAATCAGGGCCCTCCATCGGCGCTGGTGGCTAAGTCATTCTGGAAGGCCATGTGGGGGCATCTATCAAAACTCTTTTTTTTTTTTTTTAAAGTAGGCTTCACGCGGGGCTCAAACTCAGGACCCTGAGATAAAGACGTGAGCTAAGTAAGATCAAGAGTCAGATGCTCAACCGACTGAGCCACCCAGACGCTCCTATAAAACCTTTCCGTGTATGTGCGTTAAGATCTGTACATTTCATTGCTAAGTATCCGTCCAAGGAAATAGTCCTTTCCGCAAGGCTGAGGCCTAGGAAGAGATGTGCACTGTTTGTGAAAAGGAAAAACTGCAACCATCTAAGATGTCTCTCCACAGAGGGATGCTTATGCATCCTAAGCTATGCATCACATACTACGTTTAACTAAACTGGGCTTACTTTATTTAAATGTTTAGGTAAAAGCCTGGACGGTGTCACGCCAAACCATGAATGGTAGGAACTGGGATTAGAGAAGGGGAAAGTGGGTGGTCTCTACTGATTGTGCCTGTGACAAAAACAATGTATTCGTGTATTATTTTTGTAATAAAAACACAGAGGAAAATACAAGTGTGCACGCACGTCTGTAAACATGCACGTGCTATATGTGTGTGCGCGTGACTTCACGCACGCGTGCACGCGTGCACGCGCACAACCCCCCCCCCACCACCACACAACCCCAGCAGGTACTGCCCGGGTGGGGATAGGGAGAGGTCCTCACTCTCAGGCAGAACCACTGATAAACCGACCTATTTCTGTTAGCTGGGGACGAGTTTATATCCCAAATAGGTTAAAGACCGTATGTGATCACATCGCATAACCCACACAGTTTTTTTGAAATGTCCAGAACAGGGCAGGTATTGAGTAGAAAGAAGTACGATGTCCCATTCTCCCAGCAGCTTCTGCCCCCTGCAGAAGCTGGGGTGGGGTGCAGATGACACTACTGGGGGGTCACCCATGCAGACCAGCCGGCAGGAAATCCCGCGGGGATGGCCCCGCTAAGACACCACAGTCCTCCAGCCAGAGCAAGGGTTCTCAGCCTCGGCACTGGTGACGTGTGGGGGAGTCACTCTCTGTGTTGGGCCGGCCTATGCGCCATAGGATGTTGAGCAGCGGCCGTAGCAGGTCCCCCAGAGTCGTGACAACCAAACCTGCCTCTGGACATGGCCAGAAGTTCCCTGGGGGTAAAGTCCCCACTCCCCAACTCCGCCTGTTGGGAACCACTGTGCTAGTGGGAAAAGGACAGGCCGTGCTTGTGCAAGCCGATCCAGGACATCTCCACAACGTGTCCCTGATACTTAAATGTGGCTGATGCAGCCCAGAACGGCGTTTCTGGCCCACAGAGGCTGAAGCACTGGGGGCAGGGCTCCCCCCCGCCCCACCCCCCACCCCGCCCCACGTAGCTGCAGTGTGTCTCCTGACAAGGTCCTGGCAATCCTGAAATAGTACTGTCATTTAAAAGATGCCGATGAAATGCAGTGTCCTCCCCTGAAAATTTTTCTTAAATACTTGCCTTTTCGCCCAAATGTCTCATCTCAACATTTAAAAGGTTACTCACTGTGTACCAATACTATCTCTAGAAAACAAAGAGATCACTTGCTATGTTTAGTAAATGTCGCAGCAAAACATGTAACAATTATGTCCCTAAGTGCAGCAACCATCTATTTTCTGCATTTTACTACAGCACAGCAAATTCCAGCACCCACACTGCGCGGTCCAGCAGAAACATGCAAGAATGAGCAGAGGAATATTCAAAGGGGACAACGGCCCCTGACAAACAGCAGCGAGCTCAGGAGAAGGAATGCACGACAGATGGAGAATATGACCGCAGAGACAAGCAGCACGGCTGAATGCACTCGGCAGCGGTCGGTGTGGAAGCGTAAAGCCCACCACAGATCCGTGGTGAGAAGCCAGGAAGAAGCGGGCATACGAGCTCTGAGCAAACAGAAAGCCCATGTCAGCTCATGTCGGCCCTCTAGCAGGGAGTCATATGATCCGCTTTTGTTGCTATTTTTACATTTTCTAAAAAGGCGACAAAATGGATTTCCAGACATCAGGAATGATACAGTATATGGAGCAGACCCAGCTATTTTGCTTCCAGAAAGGACCCCCTGACCCCACCTGGCATTCCACTCCTTCTCCCCCACCCTCCAAGAAAATAGTTCATATGTGACTAAAGAAACTTTTTTAAAAAGATACGGTTCATAGCTTTCTGAAGCACATATCTGGGAATAATTTGGTTTTAAGGCTCTCTTCAGAAGACACAAAAGAGTCTCTAGGAAGGGGACACGAAAGCTAGGGCAGGGTCAGAATACTGAAACCAGGGTCCTGCGAACGTGGGGAGGGACGTGACCTGCTAAAAATACTGCACTGCCTCTCAATTCTGCCCTTGTCCGATGCTTAGGGCTGGAAGAGGGCGACAGAAAGACAAATCCTGAACAGGTACAGACAGGGTCAAGTCTTTGATTTTCCGAGGGCAGAAGATTTACGGCAAAGGTCCACAGAAAAGGCTGTGCTGCGAGTCTCTCCACCGAAATCCGGCGGATGAGGTCCCGCTAAGACCTGTTGACCTAGTCCTTGTTAAACTGTCTTTTAAACCAAGATATGTGACTGTTTCCATTAAGCTCTGGAGTTAGAAACGACATAGGTAAACGATAAGGAAATTGTGTTGAAGCAGGTCTGAGGGGCTGCTGCTGGTCGGGAGGTAGGGAAGGCGGGAGCCCTGAGCTATCTGAGAGGAGAAGGAAGCCGGGAAAGTCTCTGTCTTTATTAGCTCATGGCTTTAGAACTGGTCACAACAGTGAGACGTTCATGTGTTAAATGCACATGAAATTCTATCATGGGCATTAAGAGGCTTACCCAGAAGGGAAGATCGTGGATTTTGTATTCTAGCAGATACCACTTTCTGATGAAAAGTGGACAGTCCCACAATGGAGCGCCACAAAACCTCTTTCCATGGGAGAAAGGAAGGAAGCAGAAGGCAAGACTTGAGAAAGGAGCTTCTTACCTCTTTCTGGCTTCCTCATACTGCCAATTAAGCCTGACTCGGTCTACAAGTCTTGTTTTATCATCAAAGACAAACTTTCCGGAACAGAAGGAAAAAAAAGGGGGAAACATATTAAAGACATATTTTCAAAATAGAAAATTCATTTCAACTTTCAGCGACAATGAAGAATATTTTAATTTGTCTTTAAATTTCCATTTCTCAAGGGTCTGGAAGGAAATACACCAAACAGTGCTCGGCAGCCACCTCTGACTGGTGGAAGCTGCAGGTGGGGCTGGGAAGACTGCCTCCCAAGCACTGGTGGATTTGTTTAACAGTGGAAGTGTATTCATCTGTTGTGTAGTTTCTAATAACAACAACAACAACAAATTAAATTTTAAAAACATAGGGAATTATTTAGTAAAAGCTGACACAAAGGCAAAAATATTCATCCCATTTTGTACAGTACGTTCTCTCGTTCTTCAATGAATGCAGAAGAATGATGTTCTCTTAAGAAGTCGCAAGATCTGAAGAAGATGGACTAGCTCTGTGACGGATGGGCTACAGGCCTCCTTCGAATGTTACATAGCATGTTAAAGAACTAAAGGTCGAAAGGAAGGAAAGCAAGGTGTGGAAAAGCCTGAAGGCGGCCCATCGCCCTAGGAGTTAGAATTCAAACATGTGGTGCTCTGACGTGATCACTAGCTGTACTTCAATGTTTTCATACCAATTACGCTGAACTAAACAAATTCCTAAAACAAAACCAAAAAAGACCTGTATGGGAGGTAACTGTAGCTCACCCTGGTTACTTCTTCTTTCATTCCTGGAAATATACGACACTAGTTCATTAAATCAATTGTCTCTGTAGATCTGACCGTAACTAGACCCTATGTTATAGCCACTAAGTCGTCTTTTTTTTTTTAAATAACCTCATGTCAACAAACATTTGAAAATACTCTATTTGAATGATTAGAGCTGAATTTATTGACCCCAGTTTTGATATATGTCAATAGGAATTTCTTTATATCTTTATTGCTTTGAATGAGGGACAGGGCGAGCATTCTCTGATGAGGCATGTCACCACTGTGCGCATTTTAATAGCCTCATCCAAAGCCCCTCTCCATGGTTTCCTCAATATAAATATATTAAGGCTACAGCATCACATCTCCAGAAACTGACTACACTGGGAATGAGCTATTTGTCACCTCATCACCTTGTTTGTTAGAGACTCCTGCAGCTGACCCCTCATCAAGACAAATAAATGTCATTTCCTAAAACCTCTTCTCGATGCTGTCTACAGATCTCTAAGCTCTGTTTTTGCACTCTTGAGAACAAATGGACATCTTAATCAAAAAAGGAGAAATCTATGGCCCAATGGATTCAACAGGTTCCTGTTGCACAGTTCTTATGTAGTCCTATAGCACATAAGTGATAACTAAGTCAGGTGTGCAGATGTCTAAGATGGTCCCCAATGGTCTCCACCTCTTGGGATTCAGCCCAGGTGAAATCCCCTTGAGAGTGCTCTAGAGCTATGATTTGACCGTAACCAGCAGAATACAGCAAAGATGATGGGAAGCCATTTCTGTGATTACGTTACAAAAGACGGTCACTTCCATCTTGCTAGCAGACTCTCTCAGTCTGCACACTTTGATGAAGCAAGCTACTGTGCGGGAGAGGTCTGTATGGTAATGAGACAGAGCCCTCAGTCCAAAAACCTATGAGGAAGTGAATCCTGCCAACAGTCACGTGAGCCTGAGAGTGGCCCCTTCCCCAGTCGAGTCCTCAGACGAGACTGCAGCCCTGGGTGACACCTTGCTTGCAGTTTCAGGAGAGCCCCTGAAGCAGAGGGCCCTGCCAGACTCCTGAGCTACAGGAGAAGTCTGAGATAAGAAAAGTGTGCTGTTTTAAGATGCTAGGTTTTGGAGTAATTTGTTATGCAGCAATAGCCAACTAATCCAGTTCAGCCCTTCAATATGTTTTTGTTTTTGTTTTGTTTTGTTTTAACAACTGCATGATGTAGTAGAAAGCACAGGGGTTTAGGCATCAGAGATGTTGATGCAGACCTACCTCTCCCTGGCTACATGACATCAGGTGACTTGGCACCTTGAACCCCTCACCTATCAAACGGATATGGAAACAACTAACAAGATAACAGCCATGAAGCTGTCAACCCAAGGCAGGCCCCAGTAACCTCACAAACATGACAATTTATGGCTCAAGTTATTGCAACAGCATAACCAACCACTCCGCACCTGACATCTTTAGAAAGTCTTACCTAGATCATTAGAGAACCTTTGATCTTACCTGTTTCTCTCAAACTAGTTGAATCTCTTAATTCTAATTCTAACCTATGGTAACAGCAATAAATTATTCATGGAATTCAATGAGTCTTATACTTCTTTCCTTCCTGCACGCCAAAAATCTTTAGGCCAAAATGGCAGACATTTCTGACTTACAGATTCTTCTCTGTGTGTTACATAGATGGGGACCACATTCTTTAAACCAAAATCGCCTGGTCAAAAATGTCTAAGTGTAAAAAACAAAACAAAAATGTCTAAATGTACTTTTGAGACTGACAACTGAAAATAGGACTGTTTCAGAATGTCCAAGACCAAAAGAGTCATTATTTACCATATTATACTCAAAGAGATACTATTTATCCAAATTTCAAAATATTAGCTAATTATTTAAAACCCAGAGTTTTTCGTCAACGGTTTTTTTCTCCTGTTTTTTCCTTTTTCTTTACTTAATTTTGGGGAGGACATTGCACATTCCATTGATGTCTCCTCTTTACTTAATAAGCCCTAAGAAAAAGAAGCCATCTTTTTTTCATTTGTTTTCCTTTTGTAATAAACTTCACTCAATAACATTATAACAGGAGTGTCTTTAAGCATTCACTACCCTACTTCAGATGATGATTGCCAACTTTGTTTTTGTAGCTAACTCAAGGCTTCAGTAATTATCAAAAGGGGCATTATGAAATTCTTCCAAGTTCCAAGCAAAATTAATTTTGATTCAATTCAATTTCCTGACATTCTTTTAGAATAAGAAATAGCATCAAAGTATAACCTAAGGGTGACACAGACACAAAGCCTCTGAAAATCACTGGTCTAAGCCAAAGATCAGTAAACTATGACCCCCACAGGCCAAATCCGATACTGTTTTTATAAATAAAGTTTTATTGGAACACAGTCCTGTCCATTTGTTCACATATTGCCTATGGTGGCTTCTGCACTATAACAACACAGTTAGGTAGTTATAGCAGAGACTGCATGGCCTGCAAAGGTCTAAAATATTTACGATCTGGACCTTTACAGAAAAAGTTAGCTGATCCCTGCTCTAAAATGTCATATGTCGGGCGCCTGGGTAGCTCCCGTCCTTTAAGCGTCCAACTCTTGATTTTGGCTCAGGTCATGATCTCAGGGCCGTGGGATGGAGCCCCAGGTCAGGCTCCACACTCAGTGTGGAGTCTGCTTAAGTTTCTCCATCTCCCTCTGCTCCTCCCCTCCCCACACTCTCTTTCCTCTCTCTCTAAAATAAATATATCTTAAAAAAAAAAAAAGAACACATCTAAACTCAACTCTCAGAAGGATTCTGCTGTTTTAAAGAATCCAAATTACAAGGATAGAGATACTAAGCAATTCAATTGCCTTCCATGCCATGGAACCTTCACAGCTGGATTTTTCCTTCAAACTTAATGGCACAAAAGCCAAAACATTTCTGAAGAGAAAGTGGCAAAGTCAAACAAATGAGTGATGGCAACACGAAAGCAGCTCTTTTCTCTCTGGGCACACTCGGCTCTCCACCCCCCACCCCGCCCCCCATTCTTGGCATACCTCTCCAATGATGTCAGTCTGAGACCCAGCATCGCAGAACTGTTGAGGTAAGGAATCGCCAAGCACACCTGGACTGTGAGGGAACTCTTGCGGAGGGTCGCTAAGAGAAAAGCTGTTCTTGAAGCCATCGGTCAGCTTGGCCAGGCTCTGCAATAGAAGGAAACGAGTTACTTGGGCAGAGGTGGTAATGTTCTCTTCCCTTTAGAAGCAGTCATGTCATCGGCTCCAGGGCGGCCGCGTCAGCACCGGAGAGCTGGCCCACCCTGCCCCCCATTCCCGTGAGATGTAAAAGACACAACCCTCACGACCTGCACCTTTAATCCAATGCGTAGTCATCTAAATCAGACAGTGACGGAGTCCTCCTGGCAGCATGAGAATAATAGATAATAGTAGAGAACAACTGTGGTACCATTTTTACTGGTTTTTTTTTTTAAATCTTTCTGTTTTCTAAAGAAAAAAACAAGCAGGGGCTCCTGGGTGGCTCAGATGGTTAACCGTCTGCCTTCGGCTCAGGTCATGATCCCAGGGTCCTGGGATCGAGCCCCACATCGGGCTCCTGGATCAGCGAGGAGCCTGCTTCTCCCTCTCCCTCTGCCTCTCTCCCTGCTCATGCATTCTCTCTCTCTCTCTATCTCAAATGAATAAATAAAATCCTAAAAAAAAAGAAAAAAGAAAAAAACAAGCATTCCCTCCAAAAAAGCCAAACTCAGAGAAACAGAGTGGTATGGTGGTCGCCAGGGGCTGAGGGGTCAAAGGGCACAGACTTCGGGTTAGAAGATGAGTAAGCTGCAGGGCCGGAATGCACAGCACCATGCTTAGCAATATTGTGTTGCGTATCTGAAAGCTGCTAAGAAAGTAGATCTTAAAAGTTTTCATCACACACACAAAAAACAAGGTACCCACGTGAGGTGATGGATGCGTTAACTAACTTTATCGTGCTAATCATTCCACCTTACGTGTGTATATCAAGTCACCAGGTTATACACCTTAACTTTATAAAATTTTATCTGTCAACTGTACCTCAATAAAATGGGGGGGGAGCACTGCCATCCAAAATGTTGTATCAATAAATGAGTCTGACAGAGATGAATGTTGCCTTGAGATTTTTATAAACCACACAGAAGGAAAACCACTCCCAGATGAGGTTTACATATTTTTATAACCTGATTTTTCAGTCATAATTCTACATGGTCAAGAGTCATCTCATACGGATGTTAGTTTGCCCAAAACTAGAGCAACTATGTCTTCTGGTGTACGTAACTCCTTTAGGTGGAAGTCAAAAAGAAATGAGATTTTTCTCCAGTTTTTTAGAAGACTTTTGAATGTATTTCTCTCCAGCAGACACGGGTAGCTGGCTCTGGATCCAGACGAAGGCATGCTGGAATGGGCCAATATTGTTAAGGTCATAAAACACAGAACAACTTCTTTGATTTTGCTAGAGAGGACGTTGCCCAGGCCTCTCCCTGGTGCTTCTCAGAGAGGATGCTGGGGTCTGAAGTTTCTTACAGAAATTCCATCTCCACCACTGTGGTGGGGAACCCACTTGAGGCAAGTGGGTGGCTTGCCCCAGCCTGGCACACTGGGAAAGGCCGGGTCAGAGAAATCAGCTCAACGTCCTGGGGCAAGGCCTCCAAGCCCCCATGATGGAATACCCCACCTGGTTCACCCCCGGGGGTTGGGGTTTCGATTAGATGCGGCATGTCCACACTGCACCTCGTCCAACGCTGCACTCAGAGGTTCCAGGAAATGGCGGGAGCTGTTCCTGCCACCATGTACCTCTCATGACCTGGGAGTGCATCTGAAAATACAGGTTGGTGGGTCATGCCTCCAGAGCCTAATCTAGCAGGCCTGGGGTAGGGCCCAGTAAGGGGCAATTGAATGACCACTGTGGGGACACTCCACAAGTCTCCTGAATCCTTGACCTTCGGGAGCGCTGCCGTGCAAGGCAGTTATGTGTGCACCTGTCTCATCTGGCCCACAGGTCCGAGCTCTGCTTCAGACGTGCTTCTATCCTTACATTCTGCAGAATCTAGACACATGCCTGCCACGCACTCAGTGTGTTGAGCAAAAAATGAAAGCCGTAACAGAAACATCTGAATGCACCCCAGGACCAAGCAGAAAGACCAGTGCGCATCCATCTGCAAAAACTCAAGCTTTTTCTAAGTACAAGAAAATCTACAGAAGTTCAAGGGACAAAAAAATAAAGCAGTATAAAGCTCCAACGATCCCAGCCATATAACTAAAATCTATCCACGCAGACCACTTTGCAGCCATATCAAGGAATGAAGCAGCTCATTGTGCACAGATCCAGAAAAGGGGATGGGGTGTTACTGTCCCGCGAGGAAGCCGGGGCAGAAGAGTGGCAGGCACAGCCCTAGCTTTCTGTGGGGACAGCTGAACATGTGCTCACCACCCTCTCCTGTGTCTGCAAAAATGCTGGCAGGGTATACAAGAAGCTAATAAAAGTAGTTACAGGGCAGGACAGAATGGGGTGGTAGCAAGACTTCTCATCATAGACTTTTTAAGTTGTTTTGATTATTGAACAATCTGTATCACCCATCGTTACGGCTTACACTGTGTCCTCCCCAATGATATGTTCAAGTCCTAAGAATCGGTGAATGTGAGCTTCTTTGGAAACAGAGTCCTTGCAGATGGAATCAAGTTAAGGTGAGGTCATACTGAATTAGAGTGGGTTCGAATCCAGTGGTTGGCATCCTTATAAGAGAAAATGTAGACACAGAGACCCAGGGAGAACACCATACGATGACATGGCAGAGATTAGAGCGGGGCATCTACGAGCCAAAGAATGCCAAGGATCGGCAGCAGCTCCCAGAAGCTGGAAGAGGCGAGGAAGGGTCCACCCCTAGCGCCATCAGAGACAGCGTGGCCCTGTCAGCACCTTGACTCTGAACTCCTGGCCTCCAGACTCTGAGAGAATCGATTTCAGTTGTTCTCTACCCGCTTGTGGTACTTTGTCATGGCAGCCCTAGGAAACTAACACCCATACTTTCAAATATTTTAATACACATATGCAGAAATATACACACACATAAAGAACATATATACACGTATGGCATGGACATATGTTTTAAAATATATATGAACTGTATACATAACAAATATATATTATATACTGTAAACACATATTTTCCTAAAATGTTAACCGACAGATGGACACGCAGGCAGGCAAACGAACGGACACGGGATGTGAAGAGTACCAGGCCCCTACCTGCATCAGGTCCCGCCTCTCCTTCTCTCCTGTGCAAATGGCTTTCTTGATGGTCCGGAGCTCACTCATTATCGCCTGGGCCTCATCCAGTTTGTAGTTGGTGTGAGCACTTGACATCTTACGATCAATCCTGGTTAAAAAAGAAAAATCAGAGTCATTCCATGCGAGAGCCTAACAATACACTGAACAACAGTGAAAAACTCAGAAGCTTTACAGAAAGGTGGGAAACAGTTAAACACATTGCTTTGGCAAAGAAAAATAAAGATCCCACAAAACCTTCCTGGCTTGTGAGTATATACGCAGAGATGAGACGTGACCGGTGGACGACTTCCTTTGCTCCAGGAACATCCAATGCAGGTGAGGACTTGCGAATCAGGATTCCCACGACCTCTATTAATGATTAGGCAACCAAGAGTGGCTTAAGTAATTTCCTGAGATTTTAAACTCCTCTCTGAGAGGAGGATCATGTCTTATTCGTTTATCCGCCGCATCTGGGTTAGTGGTCAAAAATGTCTATTGAATAAACATATGAATGACGTGTGTGCACGAACATATGGGAAACAGCGAGAAGTTGTGAACAATGCAATAATGATGCCTCATATAAAACTCCTCTATCTTTCTTTTATCTCATTCCAGCTCTAATTTCTCTCTCTCTCTGCCCCTACCATGCACCTCTTCAATTCTTTCCTTCAATCCAAACATCCACTCATCCTTCCTTCCATCCATCCAAACTTCCTCCCTCCCTCCGTCTCTCCTTCCGGCCAGTCCGCCCCTGTGCACACAAGGCCTGGTGTGGGCGGTGGAAGCGGAGTGCTGACCAAACCAAGGCTTGCCTCCGGCCCGCACGGAGCAGGCGGCCTCCTACAGCACACCCTTTGTCTCACCTCCCCGACCTAGGTCGTGAGCGTTGGAAGCCCTCAGGGCTAAGGAGGTTGGAATACTTTGGTCCAGAAATGGCATGAACTCCTTCTCTGGAAAGCCATTAGCAGGCCTTTCAGGTTCCAGCTCCGCCATTACACGGGTCCTGGGGCTAAACTGTGACCAGGGAATCGGGATCCTTAGCGGCCAGCCCAAACTCCCAATTTTCCACTCACAAAAGCATCCTGGCAGGTTGGTGAGTGCCAGTGACACTCCAGCATTACAGCGGGACCCTGGGCAAGTCACTTCAACTCTTTACACCTCAGTTTAATGATTCCCCCATTTAACAAGAAAATGTCAGGAGAAGGCTTACTTGGGAGGGCGTCTGGCATGTAATGTTTGCAGTGATTGGTCTGATTGTCAGGACAATGCTGAATCTGCATACTCATGGGAGACAAAGTCAAGAATTCACCAACTCTGGTACTCTAACCCCAGACCTTGGAATAAGAGAAGGACAAATAAAACACGCAGGAACCCATTCCTACCCTCTGGAATCAGGCCTCAGGGCTCAAGAGCATCGCTGTGACTGCACTGGCTACAAATGATACATTTATGAAAACTGGTGGTGAGTCCTCTCCCGTGGAGTGGATGCAGGCGCATCATGGGTCCCCACACATTTCAGGGTGACCCCCCTACATCCCAACATGGCCGGGCCACGTGTTTTCCCTTTTCAGCTGTTTTACAGAGAACCAAGAGTCTCTAACGGAAGGCAGAAATAGAAGGTCATCCATCTCGTAGCACATCAGCCAAAGAAGTGGCCCAACTTTTCTTGCAGAGAAAATTGAGACTCATTTACATAATAATGTCTCCCTGTATTCATCTTCTGATAAAAGGCTCTCCAATACATCTCATTTAATGTCACAACCAACAACCCACAAAGGCTGATGAAGTCGGCAGAAAAGGGTTTCATCATTCTCAGACAAAAAACCCGGGGCCAGAGAAATCGGATTTCTCTCGAACAGTCAATGACCAGCCCCTCTGCTAACCAGGTCTACTGCTCTGACAAGTACAGCAAATAGATCATCATCTGACACTGACACCCATATGGAGAAATGAAACTCCACTACATGGAACAAAACTTTTTCAATTGCTTGAAAATCAAAGCTAATCAAACAGCCACAGAAGCACAGACACACACAGCCAGTGTTCAGGCGGTGATGCGAGCCGCTACGCACGTCAGCCCCAGCTTTATACTTAGGTGTTGTGACTTCCTTGTGGCTTTTAGTAGCAATAAAGCTTAAGTGTGGCCACCAGTAAACCCAGGGATTGAGTCAGCAGCCTGTCAAGGCACCAGGTTCTATGATTAGGCCCCAAATCCCCTCAAGGAGGGGGATCAGCAGCCCCGTAATTCATCCCACCAGCAGACACTGCAGAGCCCCTCGGAGAACAACAGTTCAACGTCAAGGCCACGGACCTGCACTTTGAGCTCTACCCAAGTGGCTCTGAGACCTCGAAGAGAAAGCAGATTGGCCTAAAACAGCTGTTTCCACTCTGTTCCGAGGGTGTCCTGGTGTGGGGAGCAGGAGCAGCTAAAGGGAGAGCCTGTCTGGGCTTGGGGACCCTCACCCCTGCTTCAGCAAGCACCTCCTCTTTGCTCTGTCTCAGACAGGAGATGTCTGAGATGCACAGATGTCCTTTGCAGGAAAGGAAAGGGAAAAAGATTCCACTGTTAAAAAAGTGTGAAAGCTACTAGGGAACGTGATCTTGAAGTCCTAGTATTTCAGAGAGAATACTGTTATTTATTTATTTATTTTTAAAGATTTTATTTATTTATTTGACAGAGGGAGACACAGCGACAGAGGGAACACAAGCAGGGGGAGTGGGAGAGGGAGAAGCAGGCTTCCCGCCGAGCAGGAAGCCCGATGTGGGGCTCGATCCCAGGACCCTGGGAT